CTTTATTCTTGAATAAGCTTTATGAAAATGAAGTTTGTAAATTATCTTATAGCAATGAGGTGGCCCAGTTACATTGTTTCAGAAAAGAAACAGAACTTAGCAGATACCTAACAGTGTAAAATTAAAACCATGAATAGACTCTTAAAAAAAAAAAAGAACCCTCACAATATGGTCATTTCAGTAATTACTAATCTTAAGAGATAATACCGCTAATTTCAATAGTCACTGTATTCTCTACAATTTAAAAATAATCCCTGTGAAGGCTAATATTTGAAAAGACACAAACTTATCAAACAATAAAAATACAACAGAAGCCTGAAGTTTCCATGAAATCTAAAGACACTAAATATTTTACAGACTGACGCTCAGCACTACATTCCTTATTAACATTGAGAATAAAACCCTACCAACAAATTATTTTTAGAATAATTCAATTTTCCAAAAATCTTTTACACTGAACTATGGTCCTCAATCTTCCTTTAAGAAATCACCTCATTATTAATCTTTATCATATAAAATATTCCAATCACTACTTTCATAAAAGAATTTAACTTTCGACAGGCTAGCTGTTGAAAAAGATCATACAACCTGCCAGAGAAAAGTCTTCAATGGCCACTTTAATTTCCCCCCTACAATAAACACGTAACACTAACAAAACACTAAAGTGAAACCAAGCAAATCAGTGTGCTTTGGTTTATCAAAATTATTGGAAGTGTAACTATCTTAAAAAAGTAAGCCCTTCACTGACTTTTTCCTAATTTTTTTTCACATCAACATTTGGCTCAATAAAACCACAACTCTAGAAATTAAGTGTTATTAGTCATTTGATGCAATATTTGATTCTCCTTTCTATGCATACCGTAACTGAAAACAGTTTTAGAGAAAGTTTTAAGTCACATAAACATCACATGTAAAGAGGCACACACACTGTGAAATGAAAAAAGAAATGGCCACCCACCTCATTTCTCATATATAAGCAACTGATATAATAATTTTAGTTTTATAACCTTGATAATTTTAAATCTATGAGTAAAATAAAAATAGCATAAATGAACTCTGATTTCTAAAAGTAATCTGTGTACCAAACTGCATTCTAAAATTTATTTTTGAATGGGGGCTTTTTAAAAATAGTTAAATAAACATTTAATTTGTTTTTATATATCTAGACAACTGTCAACAGTGCACTACTTTGGAAATGTTACAAATCAGAAGTGTTTCTCCATAATTAATTGTCTCCTAGGCAAATGGGTCAAGTTCAGCCTTAGTGAAATTTTTCAATTAATGCAATCTCCAGAATTTCCATTTTTTCCTTCAATACTATTTTTAACTTAGAAAACTGTTAACATTATGTTGTTGTAAAACTATTTCTTTGAGAACTTTTCCCATTTCAAAATGAAACTTGGGCATAAAAGCTGTGCACATTTATGTGAAGCTACATATCCAAAGGAATGGAACCTCTTCAGACATAAAATGTTTTCTTAAAAAGATAAATATTTGAAAAAATAAAAACAAAAAAAAAATTCCCCACAATATTTATCAGGACATATATACATTAGTGTCACTCTATCTTTAAGCAAAACGTTTACTGATATTTGCTAAAATAATTTTTACTGAGAATACTGTTAATAGTTATGCAGTTACATAATTTTAACTAAATATTGTCCACTGCTACATTTCACACCACAAAATTTTTGGCCTTAACAGACTACTTCAGTCACAGACTAATAATTTAATTGTTTTTCATGCTTTAGACACTGACCTACCAGTAACTCTCAATTCCTGTGATACTTTTCCATTCTGCAAAAGGAGGGACTCTATTCCCATCCTTGATCAAAACCAGTTTCTTATATCTGAAACTGTAAAGATTAATGCCTTTTGATAACCATTATCTTTTGAAGTACAAAGGCCTCTAACTTTTAGACAACCCAAACTATGCACCGTTAAAATTTTCTGGGCTTGTCTTATTCAACACGCTGACTCAGTAAATTTAACACCGTATGAAAAAGCTAACATACCTACCATCTGAAGCTGGAGTGATCCACTCTCACCAGCACTTCTGGCTACTAGCTGGTCAATTATACTTGACATGCTACACGAGTCAGAGTAAATTTAAGGGATGCCTAAAGGTGTCAGAGGGCCTGAAACCTAAGTAAGGTTGAGTAGCGATTCTGGCATCACAATACTTAAATTTCAAGTGAGAACTTAAATTTAATCTTTGCAATCACCATTTGTTACACACAATCCCTTGAACCGACACAACATTATTATCTAGGATCAAAAACCACTCTATCTCCATTCTATTAGGTGTAACAAGAGCACTGAATATAAAATGCCACTGGAACTGCAAATTTCATGCCCTATCCTACATCACCCCATCAGGAGAGAAAAAGGCAAATTTAACAAAGATCTATTAAGAGTGCCTTATGAGGTATAGTATGGGACTATTGATCTCAAACGACAAAACTTCCAAATGCAAGTCAAAGTTGTAATTACCTTAATTTAAATATACCAACTTTACTTCTGCCCTCAAATAAGCACCATGTATGCTAAAAATGATTCTGCTTCTAAAATTATGCAAATCAGCTCACAATTCACATTTTAAAAGAATCTATCAATGCAACCCAGGAAACTAAGAACAATCACTGCAAGATTTCTGATGCAATATGCGTACCTGCATTAAAATTTTCATTTTAATCTGATCTATACCCTTGATCTAGGGCCTAAAGCCAAGATTTAATCAAAATATGCTCAACCTCAAAGCGTCTACTTTTCTGTTCATTTACTAGATCGGATTACCAAGATCACTAACCCCTAATAACGTACTGTATTCCGTATTAACGGACAATAGCCTTTGGGAAAAGACCACATAGACAGATTAAGAAACCAATCGGTGCCTTGACACTTGCAACCAGGCCAAGAGTTCCGTCTAGCCGAACACACCCTAGGTTGAATGAATTCAAGAGACACACACACAATATAATCTAGAAATATGACCAGGGTTAAATATTATAGTCACCCAAACTACGGAAATATTTCGCATCCGTGTACTCCCACGTTCTAAGAGAGAGTGACAGAAAGGCAAAGAAGAGCAGCCGCAGAAATGGATACAGGTCAAGTCTAAGTCGAATCCATCCTCTTGGTATCTCCTTTTGTTTCTGCTAACGATCTCTTTGATGATGGCTGTCATGTCTGGGAGCCTGTGGCTGAAGAAAAAGGAGGAGAGAGATGGCAGAAGCTGCTGGTGGCGGGGCTTCTTCTGCAGGATGGAAATGGCTTTGGACTTGGCGGTCGCTGATGCCCCCCGCTCTGCTGCCGCTGGGCTCTGGACCGCAGCCGGGTAATGGCTGCTGCGGCGGCTGCTGGATGGTTGCAAAGGCTGGGCCTGCTTCTCTTCAGCAACCAGAGGCCTGGCAGCGGCGGCAGCGGAGTGGGCAGAAGACGAATAATCCTCGGAACGACTGCCTCCTCCGGCGGCCTCCGGAGCCCGGGCCAGAGGGGGTGCGGCGGCGGCGGAGGGGAGGTTTAAAACCGGCCCGGGTCCCTGGAAGTGCCGCCGCCGCCGCCGCCGCCGCCGTGTTGGAGGCAGTAGAAGGGGAGAGACCAACTCTCCGGCGTTCCCAGCCCTGGAAATGGTGACAGGCGACTCCGACCCCCTCCTCGGAGCTGTAGCCGCTGCGGCTGCTGCCGCTTCTCCCCCCCGCTCCAGGAGCGGGAGGTGCCGCCGCCGCGCCTCAGCCGGCTCCCGCCCGAGCCCAAGGCTTCCACCTTCCCTTTCAGAAGCTGAGGACGAGGCTGCTGCTGCACGGTTAGAAAATACCAAGAGGAGGCGAGGAACGCCGCCGCTGCCGCCGCCGCCGCTGGCCGGCCGGCTCCCCGAGGGCTCTGCCCCCGCGGCTGCTCACAGGCGCTGAGAGGGGCTCTGGGCCGCGGCCGCCGCCGTCTCTCATCTCCCTCGCCTGAGCCCGGCCTCGCCTCACAGCGGCTCAACTCTCAAACTTCCATCATGGCTGCAGCTTCCGAGATGAGAGAACTAAGCGCAGCCGCAGCGCAGCCGCGTCCCACCGTCCGAACGTGTATCCTTCCGCAGTGCACAAAGAGTTCCGCCACATCACCGTCCGCCGGGCGTCCCGCCCCCCTCGGCCGCCGCGCGGGGAACCCGAGCGCCTCGGGAGTCCGAGGAAGGGCGGGAGGCGTACGGGAGCGCGCTGGGGGAGGGAAGGACAGGGTAGGGCAGGGGTGGTAGGAGGGGCAGGAGCGGTAGCTGCGGGTGCGAACGCCGAGCGCCAAACTGCCAGCGCCACCGAGCATGCCCAGCGCGGCTGCCCGGGACTCGCTCGGGCATGTTCAGAGGCGCCGGCCAGTAGCTAGCTGCACTTGCCGCGGCTGTTTCTGCAGCAGCACAGGGCGGGGTGGACGAGCTAAGCCTCGGCCAGTGCCCAGAAACGCAGCTGGATGCAGGGTGGGCTGTTGCGGGGTGCTAATGGTGAAAGCTGAGGCGGGTGCGTTGAGTGGTGTCACTGACGCGGGTCTGACGTTACCTGTTCACAGGTGCAAAGGACCTGATGACTACGCTGGTCAGTGTAAAGGGAAATGCAGGGACAGTCCCTGCGGCGAGGACACCCTGTCCCCTGCACGGCTCCTAAGTTTCCCTGGCATGGCCTGCAGCCCCATTCTTACACACCGTTGTCGGATCACAGTCGTTCGCAGAGATTTGACTGTAGCAGCCTTTGCCACGAAATTCCACCTTCCTCCCCACCCCCACCGCCGTGTCCTCAAGGTGTCAGTCTCAGCACAAAGAACGCCCCCCCCATTGTGTCTCCAGTATGTATCACTTCATCCGGCCCCCTTTCACCGCCCCACCTCCCGCTTCCCTGGCAACTCGGTCCTTTTGCCCTAAAAATGAAAGTCGAGCACGCCGAGTGTGAGAACAGCGTCCCTGAATTTCTAGGACCCAAAGGATAACTGTCTTTAAGTAGACTGAAATTGGACCCCCTGGGTGGATGCAACCCACAGCCTCTGCATTGCCCCTTAGAGGACCGAGCGTTTCCCCGCTTTGGGGAACTGGTTCGGTTCACCGCGTCGAACTCAAGCTCGGTACTCAGAAGCTATGTCGCCCCGCCCCTTTTGGGCCGCTGAGAAAACACGGATGGGTGGATTGCCCTCGGGCCAGGTCCCGCGCTCCCCTAGCACAGACATGCACGCTGAAGGCCAGTGCTGCTGGTCTCGAATGAGAAGTACGCGACCGTAGGAAGCTGCAACCCCTTCAAGAGGGCGGGGCCGAAGAGACCTTGGAGGGTTTAAAGGAGGTGGAGGGATACACGGGCCACAGTCGGAACTACTTTCAGGAGGAGATCACGTGTGTTCCTAGTTGGGGAACTTTCCAAATTCCCACTCGCCAATGATAGCTGGAGAGGCGAGTAGTTCGCTTCCTTTACCAGGGGTTCGCCAGCCTTGTGCAGCAGCGAGACCCCAGAGCCTCTCAGTTCACGGCGGAAAAACTAGCGCTCAAGAGCCATCCACCAGGACGCTGTCCGGGCTGACGCCTGGGGAGCTGGTTACACAAACACCCACATCCAAGCACGTGCCCGAGCCTTCCCGCACCGTTGGCTGCCGCCGCTGCTTCTCGTAGACCTAGGAACGAGAGTTCCCAAGCTGGTCCCACCCTTTACCTGCTACTCACACAAATGGCCGAGACCTGAGACGCCTAGCTCTGGATCATCTAACACTGCGTATTCCCCTACCACAGAAGAAAGGACTGTGCCATGGAGGTCTGCGTCTCCCTCGCTAGTGTCCTTCCCCTTAGGGCAAAACTTTCTGGTGCTGTGCTCGCGGGGCAAGAAGGTATCTCTTGCCGCAGCCCGCTGCTTGAATACACCGATGTTGCAACAAACTTCCAGTCACTAACCCTGAGCAGATGAGCGCGCCCCACCTACTGTAAACTCGGCCAAGTGACTTACCTGGTCGGAGAACCTAATCAATGGCCGTCAGCCCAGAACAAACCTGTCAAGTCGGCTTGCAGCCCCATTAGTTGACCCATCCCTGTGAGGGAGCTGGTTCAGAAATGCTGAGAACTGGAGCACATTTACCCGGATATTGATCAGCTACAAAGCGAGTTGTCCACCTTCTGCTTGGAGAAAATAGGCATCAGTCAACACCAATCTAGGAATTTCTTTTCTCTTGGAAGTAAGACTAAAGGAGGCGTTTGGAATCCAGAAGGAATCTGTGTTGAGACCTAGGCTGAGAGGCACTGGGTCGGTTTAGGCACTGAAAGAATAGAGATCAATTTGCGTGAGTAATACAGTAATTGGGAGTAGTTGCCTAGGAAAGTCTAAAGATTTATTTAGTATATGAAAAAAGAAAATCGTATATGAGCACATCATAATTGTAGGCAGCCCCTGAAGACCAGAAACCCTAAGAGACCTAGCTTAGAAGCCACAAGCCATTACCTAACTCCAAGACTACTAATTAAACCAGGGATACTTAAAGTGTTTTTAGTGATCTCTTATGCTCCACAAATCTTGTATTTATATTCAAAACCCTTTTAAGATAGGTCTGCAAGAGTTAGCATCCTGCTGAAACTTCAGTGTTGGTATTTACTAGAAGCTGATTTTGTGCATGGTCCTGGTCAGGTTGGGGCAGACGGGCCATAAGTGGAAAAGGCAATGAAGAGCAACCTGAAAAGAGCTAGGAGAAAAACCTGCTCCTACTTTGGTTTCCAAAGATGTAAATCCTGTCCACACTGCATAGTAGGAGCTAGAGATTTCTTTATTCTACAAATAACAAAGGACAAGGAGTCGCTGATTTCTCGTTATTCCACTAGATTGCATGGTAAGGACAGCTATACACAGTTGAGTATCAGCTACTGCTTGACGGGGGCAAGGCAAGGTGAAGATGAAGTTAAAAGAGGAGAAGTAGATTGGGGAAGGGTAAAATGTCCCATGTTTGTTTCTCAGGTTGCTGAGCTTGTCCCCAGAGTCTCTGAAGGCTGCCCTATGTGAGAACTACTCTTAAAGCATCTGAGAAGTTCTAAAATCCACTACTGGGAAGAACATGTGTTTGTTCATATCTGCGCTGCTGGAGTTAGACATGAGGAGAGAGGATTCTTTTCAATTCCTGTGACACAGAGTTATTGTGGAACAGAGAGTACGCATCACCAACACTAAAGTGTGGGAATGTGAGTCCAGCCCACAAGCACTCCTATCAGCTAAAGGGAGGAAATGGGAAGTAGTTTTGCTGCTACTCCAAACATCAGGTCCCTGTACTTTTCTCTAGTGATGAAGGAAAAGATCACCAATCTAGGCAGATATTTGGCCATTCTGACAGCAGTATCAGGTGGTTATTAAAAGTTGCTGAATAAAAACCTCCTCCTCTTCCCATTGTTAAGCAGATTCCTGAAGGAAATACTGATGTATCCTTTTTCAATGTTTTTCTTCACTTTTCTCTCCTGCCTAAGAAATCTCCTTACCCAGGTGCTAGAGCTGAAACCTCTAAAGAGCTGACCCTATTAATGTATAAAAGGTTTTTTAAAATAATTTTTAAAATTGATTGGCAAATATTTTCTTGGCCGTACAGATAACATAATATATTATGTTATATATTATAACACACACTTTCACACACTTCACACACAGTTTCCACACACTTCAGTTCATTACCTGTCAGGATTCAGAACACCCTAGGGCAAAACAGAAGCTTGTAACAAAGGGAGAATTATATAAATCTTCAGGGGGACTATATAGAATAATTGGTGAACATGGCAAACAAGCTTTAATTATAGTTTCTAACAACTAATTCCAAAACCGTATTGTTAGTACACTCAAAGACTATACAGAGAAAGTATCTTTTGGTAAATGAAATGACCAGCAATTTGATGTGGATGATATAAATAGTTAGTATGATCTTTGTCGGTCCTGCTACGAACCTACAGTCTTTTGTTGAACACTGCACACTATGGTGCCTTTCTCATCTCTCACACACTGACCTTTCAAATAGAGATGTAAATCAATGGCTTTAATTTTTAAGCAATCTTTGCTATTTTTATTATTTAACCACTGTTTTCAAGATAATGCTGAATAGAAAAATATAATAGTTACAGGTTTGAATCTGAACTTCCCCATTATTCCAATGATTCATAGGCTTTTCCCTTATTTCATTTATCTTAATTACAAATATTGCTGTTCTTTTAAATATATTTTGCCCAAGGCTTTCCAGCAGAAAGTTCTGCTATGGATTATACAACTAACTATGTCCTAAAAGACAAGTTTCCATGATTGTCTCTGAACTCTTCATGTCCTAAATCTCTCCTGGAGCTATTTCAGATGGTCCTTATGTTTTCTTTTACATCTCAGTAGAGAAGGATGCTGTATGAAATTATCACTCTGAGAAATAAAGATTGGGTTGGATACTCCTGGGAGAACCACAGAGCAGACCAGGCATTCACTGTATCCAACTGGCATTCAGAAATTGTGACTTGGACTAGAGAGTGATAGAAAAGAAAAGATTTAACATGGCGAGACAACTTTGACTATTTTAGCCTCCAGTCTAACACTGGCTATTGGATATTCTACTTTGGTCCCCTCAATATTAATTCTAACTCTAGCCCTGTGGAACACACATTCTGCTTTTTAGCTCTTCCAATAATATAAAAATATAATAACTTTTATATACCAGCAGTTATTGGGGCATTTACCAGCCACCTTACAGAGTAGCCCTCATTTGTCTAGGTATCAGGGGCACATTGAGAAGTTAAGGTTGACCCTTGCCTCACTCCTGTAAATCCTTTCCTTCAGAATATCATGCTGGCTTCTGAGACATCACTTTTTCTGACAACAAAGAATACCTTCTTTTTTTTTAAACTAAGTTGCTTTATTATTTTTTTTTTTTTTTAGATTTTATTCTTTTATTTTTAGACAGACGGGATGGGAGAGAGGGAGAGAAACATCAATGTGTGGTTGCCTCTCATGCGCCCCTTATACAGACCTGGCCTGCAACCCAGGCATGTGCTCTGACAAAGGATACCTTTTTGAAAGAGAAAATGCATGGGGTAAACTCAATTTAAAGTATCTTTTTTTTGTCTGTCTTCTTGATGGTCTGTGGTCTTCATTCATTCATTTAATGGTTCCACCAACAAATATTTGGATGTCTATTATGTGCCAGTACTGTGCTAAACTCTGTAAACCAAGCAATGATGTGGTATAAAGGGTCCAGCTTTTATGATATTTAGTGTCCTTGGAGGAAAGTTAAAGCAATAGAAAATACCCTGAAGTTTGATAACTATTTCAATTATTTATTGCTATATAACAAACTTGGTGGCTTAAAAAAAATAATTAATTTTTTCACAGTTCTGAATTGGGGAAGGGCACAGTTGGACAGTTCTCCTTCTCCAGGATGTCAGCTGGGGTCAGACATGAGGTTGCATTCAGCTGTGAGTTTGGCTGAGGCTGGACTGTCCCAGACGGCTTCACCCACATGTCTAGCACCTCAGTTTGAGGAGGTGAAATCACTGGGGCCTTCCCTCTCTGCCTGTAATCATCGTTTTCAGGTCCAGCCCAAGCTTCTTTGCACAATAACTGGATCCCAAGAAGGGAAAAAACGGAAACTACAATGTCTCTTGAAGCCGGAGTTTAGAAGTCCCAGAACATCACTTTCATTGTATTCTTTTGGCCAAAGCAAGTCACAAGGCCAGACATATCCAAGGGTAGAGGAAAGAAACTATTTCTTAATGGAAGGAGTGGCTGTGATGGGAGGAATTAGTAGCAGTCTTATTTAGAAATACTCTATCATGATCCACCTTCTGGCCACAAAAACTCACATGTACACACCCACACAAAGACATGCAAAATACACTTGCTTCCTCCCCCAAAATGATCATTCTGTATAGCATTGGCTCTAAGGTCTAGGATCTAATAATTTAGAGCAGGCCCAAATGTGGTTGAGGCATTTTAGATCCTGCTCCTCTTCATCTGGAGACCTGTGGACTAAAAATGCAAGTTGCATAGACAACATACAGAGATAGAATCCCTGCAATAGACACTCCTGTTCAAAAGGGGCGGTGGGGGGAGGGGGAGGTGGGTGGGAATGGAAGGCACATAGCAGTTACTAGTCTGTAGTGTTCTGAAAGCCAGCCCAACACTGTCATCCTGACTCTGAGGGTCTAGTTCTCCAATAGAGCCTGCTTCTTCTCCCCCAGAGTAGTTCCCTAATCCAGGGTCCTTGGTTCCTGCTCTGAGGTCCAAGCTACCATCTCTGAATTAATCTTTGTTTTCTGTAAGAAACTACCTGCCATTTACAGTTGAATAGCTCCCTCTGGTTCCTTCCTGCCCATAGAACTTTGGGGGTCCAGAGGCTTTTATTTTTCCAATTTGAACTATCTCCTTCTTTAGTCCAAGCTGGTGGTAGTCTTATCAATACAATTCTTTTAAAATTGTATGGGTTTTCTATGACTCTTATTGAAATTCACTCCTTGCCCACCAAAGCAATATCTTTAATTCTTTCAAAAACAAACCTCTGTACTTTGAGCCCTGTTGGACCCTGAAGATTCCTAGAAGCTCTTTGATCTAGATAAGAGGATCTATAAGGTAATACCTCACCTTTTTTAGAGGTCTTAACATAGAATTCTGATTAGATTTTTACATTGAGGTCACATTTTACAAGCAGGCCCCTGAGGCCATTTCTTACTTTGAGGTTCTTGCTAGCTAAACAGACTCATAGACCATGTATATTTCCCCTACGATCTCCTGGAAAACTAGTAGTTCCTTTCTTAAGATATTTCTCTTGTGATGCCATCTAATGTCACTAAAAGAAGCCAACTAAAAGTTTGGCAATTCATCTTGAATTAGGTACATTTTCTACTTTCTGTGTTTTATTGCACACAAGTGTTGCCAACCATTTTGCCACTACATAAT